GGGCTGCTCTCAAGGACCTCTCCTTCCAGTCTGTAGGGATGCCTGGGATTCCTCCGGCCCAAGTGCAAAAAACTCTGCACTTTGCAGTGTTGAACCTCATCAGGTTCACCCGGGCCCACCTTTCTAGCCTCTCGAGGTCCCTCTGAATGGCATCCCGTCCTTCAACTGTGTCAACCACACCACTCAGCTTGGTGTCGTCAGCAAACTTGCTGAGGGTGCACTCAATTCCGTCATCAATGTCATTGATAAAGATGTTAAAGAGATGTAAAGAGTGTTCAGCCTGGAGAAGAGAAGGCTGAGAAGAAGAATGTATAGCAGCCTTCAGGTACTTCAAAAAGTGGAAAAACAACCAAAAAACCCTAAAAGTTAAGAGGTTAAGATGGAGATGGACTCAGCCAGGGATTTGAAGTTACAGAACAAGGGGAAATAGCTTTAAGCTAAAAGAAGGTATGTGAAAACATAGTAACTATCACAGTTACTATGAAACCTGAAGGTGCATTGAATTACACAGCTAAAACCACATCCTGCTGTTAATAATTGTCTACTCCTACTGTAAGGCCATACTTTCTTCCTAATGATTCATAACCTTCTCTATTTATGCATTTGGGAACTTCACACCACACCAATCATTTTACTTTCACAGTTTTGGGTTTTTTTTTTTTTTCACTAAAGGTTTTTAAATAATGATCAGTACAGTACAAAGCTTAAAACATTACCAATGTTTTCAACAATACAAAGTCAGCAGATGGAAGGTGGGAAGGGGATGGTTAATATCTAACACCCATACCCTTCTCTACTTCCCAGGGGAAAAAAAAAAAAATACAAACTCTTTTGTTCTTCTGTTTAGTAACAAACAGTGCTTAAAAATAATCATGTCAGTAAAAAATGTAAATTGCAAGGCACATGAGGAACCCGTCCTTGCCCTGCTACATAAATCACTAGGCAAAAACCCAAGTTTAAGGCAAGTTTAAGGTACCTCTCTCCATCCTCCCCCTTCTGCTCCATACACCAGGGAAATCCTGTCCCCTGTTAAAAACAACCACAGACCAGCAGATAACAAAGAGGCTGCCCCTGGTTCCTTCGGTATAAATCCCAGGAGGTAACAGCATAAGGCACATTGGGATGACTTCTCAGCTGACCTGTGCAGATCCAAGTTGTGAGATCTGCTACAGTACTATCGTAAGACCAGAGATTCTTGAGGGTGAGGGCCTTCAGGATCCAAAAAGTGCTCAACTCCCTGCCACCAGGACACCCAGCCCAGCCGTGCCTCCTCAGAGGAGCACCAGGATGGACGAAGCTGTGCTCCAAGCAGCAAGCCCAAAGGAGAAGACCCTGGCAGGCTCTCGCTTTAGCACAGTTGCACTTTTACTGTCTCAGCAGCTCTGGTCTCCTCTAGATCAACAGCACAGTTCTCAGGAGGGCACTGGCAGCCACTTCCCAGTCCTTCCCCTCTTGAGGTGGAGCAGAGTGCTGCTCAGCATGTTGAGTTTGCTCAGGTAGGCAGCCAGGTGCATAAGGCACAAGTCCTGGGGTGAAGGAACAAAACTCTTTGTTGGAGGAAGATGAGGAGGATGGAGACAGAGACAGGGGAAGCTCCAGTGTAGACAAGTCCCTTCAGACACCAAGGGTGCACCCTCACAGCAGCAGCAATCTGGGTGGCAGTTGCCTGCAAAATTGACCCATCATAGTAATGAGGAAGTCAGCTCCAGGTCTGAGTGCAGGGCCATGCGGGCACATGAGAGGCTTCACTTGAGGGGTACCATGGAGATATGCAGAAACACCACCACTGTCACACCACAGTTGATTCAGAAGGAGAAGTTTCACTTCTGCTGTAGCACAGAGATGACATTTGACCAGAAATACTTCGGAAAATTCATGAAGCACCTCCTGCTCTGCTGTGAACTGGACAGCATTACTGTAATCATCCTTCTTTAGCCAAGGGCAGGACGTCACATATTTTCACAGTCATAGAGAAGCAAACGTCTGGGTGACCCCTGTCTTTTGATACCAGTATGACTAAGTGATAACAGCACAGTCTGTTGTTAGCAGCAATGCCCACTCCCTCCGTTTTAGTTCAGAACAAAACTGTGGACCAGCCTGTAACTGGCTTATTCTCTGTTATCTGCCACAAAAGCAAAGCAAATTTGGCTGTGAGAAGCAAGCACCACTCCCACTGGAAGTCTTCTTCCAAACTGAGAGGAGACCCACATATGCAGGCAGCACTGCTGGCCAAGTAAGCTGGTTGGATGTTAAAACCAGGAGAAAATTACTGACATTTTTTCAGTTGGGTTGGTTTTCTGCTGGTCCATCTCCCAGCCATTTTCTTGCTCCAGTCAGATAAACCTCTGTGCAAAAGGTGCAGTGTGAGGAGGTGTAAGTCAGTAAGCAGCGTAGGAAATGAAGTCATTAACAATTTCTCAGTGCTCCTAAGCTGGGCTAGATGTGAACAAGGAAGCCCTCAGTGATGGGAAAGGGTGGAACTAGATGACTTCTCCAAATTTCTCCTGTGATTTCTTCTCTTGTAATCAAAAATTGCTCTCCTCATCCTTTGCACTTAATTTATCAATTAGGCCAGAGTTTCAGATTTGTGCACAAAACCTTTTTTTTTTGTTGCAGCAAGGTACCTATTAATAGGTGAGTTTTCAGAGATGCAGAGATGTTGTTGTTTGGCCCCCATGCTCATCCAGCAGCACAGCATTACTTCCTTCAAGCTAATCTTGACCCGGCTAGGAGGCTCTGTAGATAAAAAAGCTGAAGGCAAAACCTTTCTGGCTATTAAATCAGGCATGCATGCACATGCACAAATACATCTCACTAGTTAAAAACCAGATCAAATGCAGAAATCAGTGCTTGCCTTGACAAATCATATCCCCAACCCTAAAGTCTTCCTGCTCAATACCAGCAACCACCATTCATTTGCCTGCCCTTGGATTCAGCGACACAGATCTCTGGCTGGAATGGATCCCACACCTTTCTTGCTTTCAGTGAAGATTTATGTATCGTGGTAGAGATGTCATGGCATTTGAGGCTTCAGGTCTTCTGTAAGAATACAGCTGGAAGGACTCCGAGTTAACTGTGAAAAGTGAGCGGTACGTTCAACAGAAGGTATGTAGTCTGGAATCTATCTGTATGGGCTCAGAGCATCCAGTCCTGTAAGTGCTACTAACTTCAGTGCCACAATATGGCTCCATACCTCAAATATCCCTCCAGCAACTACAGAAGAGATTCATTTAGTTGAGGACACCGTAAAACAACCCTTCCTACTCTTTGGACAGGGGTGACCCACAGACACCAAGTGTCCCTGACCACTATACTAGCTACTCCACACAAGAACCTCCAAGTTCCAAGGACAAACCCATTCCAAGGTTACAAAAGACCTTAATTCTGTCAACCTGCTCCTGCCTTTTGCCATCCTACCTTCATCTAATGCCGATAAAAACATGCCTGATTCAAAGCCCCATAAGTCGGAGAAGAGCAACCTTGCAGATTCATGGCCATCTTTCCCACAAGGTCCACCAAGGATTGCTTGGCATCCTGAAAAGAACCATTAAGAAGGGAATAAAGACTTCACACCCGCTTCACTTTCCTCCTCTTTTGGCCATGACCATTCCAGGAGCCCAAGGAGGCCCAGGGCCCAGTGGCTTTCCCATACGAGACAGATCACACCCAAGTTAGTTCTGCACTGCGTGGTCAGAATTGGAAGCAGGTCAGACTCACATGGCAGATGATATGGGATCAGTCTTTTCAGGAATGTACGAACATGTCACACAGGCAGAAAAAGAGGCACTTCTCTCAACAAATGTATTTTCCCTCCCAATGCCAGCATCTTGAATGCTGATGGTTGCAGGGGTGCTCAACCTCTACTACTGCTACTGAGAAAAGCTACAAAAATCAGCTCCAACCTGTTCCAGGGCCAAGTCCTCAAAGGCAAGTAAGCACTTAAAATGGAAAGCAGGAGCCTCTGAAGAGCTGGGACAGCCTGCTTAGTTTTGCCTAACATCCCCAACCAGGGGGTGGCTGGACCACAAGAGTGCCTGGCAGACATGGGGGTCAGGTTCAGTTCCAGTTGATTCTAGAGAACTCTAGGTCAAGTCTCGGTCTGCAAGCATACTTTGCTGATGTCACCTCAGCAACCTGCTATTGAGATACTTCAGGGGGTCATAGATAAAATCTTGTTTATCTGAGCTGGAGCTGGAAAAGGATTAGTCCAACCACTGTAACACACACCCTTGCAAATGAACCCTAGAAAAGAAATCTTACAACTGCCTTTGATGTTAGCAAGTCTCTCCTCAGCCAGCAGAAATGGCAAACCCCAAAGATGTCAACGTGTCCACTCAGAGGCCTCATGGTGGGTTCTCCACTGTGCTGTGTACCCTAGAAAACCCTTCTACAGTCGCACAGCCCTTTGGCTACTGTCCTTCACATTCAGCGAGGTATCTCCCACAGGTTTACCAGAGAGAACAAAGAACCTCTGCTTATTCCAGTATCCTTGGTTAAGTGACTTTTGTGGCTTAAAACACCCCATGTCCCCCTGCATGGCAGAAGGCAGCTTCTCCTGTGAAAATGCATCCAGCATGAAGTGTTCAACCCTCCACCCCAGTCCAAGGTCCAGGTTAGTCACAGTGTGTTAGGCAAATAAGCCAGTTATGCCTCTAAGATGCTATGCCCCTTTTCTTATTATTTTTTTTCTTTTTGGGTGGTGTCATGCCCATCACCTTCACGATTCTCAGGAGTCCTTTTTAGCCAGGATGGCCTTGATCCTGCATCGCAGGATGTAAGCTGTGATGGCACTGCAGGCCACCAAGCCGAAAAAAGAGACGCAGGAGAGATAGATGGAGAAAGGCCCATGTCTTTTTAGGAAAATCTCCTGCCTGTTCTTGTAATCCAAACAAATGGCCTCCAGCTGCGATAGGGTGCAGATAGCCAGGAAGGTGTGGAAGATCTGGTGGGCATGGCCAACGATATCACAGGAGCCAGGGAAGTACTTCTCAGGAACCGGGCAGGAGAAGAAATAAGCACTGATAAGGAAAAACAGTATCTGGTATGTGTGGTACCAAGCAGCATCTTCCTCACAGCCCCCCAGGTGACACACGACAACCCGGTGAGCGACAGGACTGATATCCAAGATGAAGGCCAGCCCGGCTGGGATCACCTGGCACATTTTCCTCATGATGGGGTAAGGCCGTCGGTACCGGTATTTGGCATAGCAGCATCCAGCACATGACAGCCAGCCACAGAAAGCAGCTGCCGGGAGGAAGAAAAGCCAGAATTTGTCATACCACGCTTGGTCGGAGCTGTAGTAGAAGTGGGCCAGGGCACTACCGTACTGGTAGGTGCTGACTCCGACGTAGTCCACGAAGTAGAAAGTGTAATGGTACAGCTCTGACTTGGACTGCAGCAAGTGGGCCAGGAGGCTGCAGGTCAGGTAGGTGACAGAAGAGAGGACAAAGATGAGCAAAGGCAGAGACCAAGCATCCAGGGGTAGCTGCTCACCCTCCACAAATGCTTTGAACCTCAGCAGCACGGCCAGCGCCGCCAGGAGATGAGTCCAGACATTGACCACCTCGTTGTGCTTCTGGAAGAGGCTGAGGAAGTAGTACCGCCAGTCCTGCCCAGTGGGACGGTACCCGGCGTGGATGTACGGCTCACGGAAGAGCTGTGGCACCTCTCCTTCTGGGACGGTGCATGGCATCTTGGGGAAGCCATCCTCCAGCAGGCGGGGAAGGCGGCTGAGCTGCGGCCCGCTGAGGGACAGCGTGCTGAGGCGCTCCAGGATGGCCGTCATCACTGGGGTAACGTCGCCCTGCAGGAAGGAAAGAGGGAGGAAATGTTAATGGGAATGCAGTGGGAGAAGAGCGTGGTAGTGCTGCTGGATGGGATACAGCATGGTGAAAATATCAGGAAGAATTTATCCTCAGAAAGAATGGTGATGCACAGGAACAGGCTGCCCAGGGAGGTGGTGGGTCATCATTCCTGGAGGTGTCCAGGAACCGTGGAGATGTGAGGAACGTGGTCTGTGAGCATGGTGGGGTGGGCTGCAGTTGGACTCGGTGATTGCGGAGGTCTTTTCCAAACTTCATGATTCCATGGTGATATCAAGATGCCTGTAGAGGCAAAGGGCTTTTCTTGACGTGGCAGACCTAAATTCAGCATGGAAGAGGATGTCTGTGTGGTTCGGCTTAGATTAGATAGAAACAGAAACATGACATCCTGCCCTTAGTCCCCACCTCCTTGGCAGTCTCATGGGGCTTGTTTAGGGCTAGCTGCCAGTAAGGGGGTGCAAGAAGCAGTCAGGGGAGATTTAACAGTTCAAGAGAGATTTAGACTGGATATAAGAAGTTTTTTTTTTTACAATAAAAGTAGTGAAGCACTAGAACAGAGTACTGGATGCCCCATCCCTGGAGGCACCCAAGGTCAGGCTGGACAGGGCTCTGAGCACCTGATAGAGCTGTAGGCGTCCCTCTTCATTGCAGGGAGTAGGACCATATGGCCTTTAAATGTCCCTTCCAACTCAAAATAATTCTATGATGCTAAAGCACCTGTGGAGGGGGTTTTTCACCCTTTCAGCCAGAACAAACCACTCAGGAGGACATAATGATTAATCTAAGGGTAACTTGCTTTTCTTTAAGTGGATTTGCAACCAAATCCTGGAGGCTACAAATAAGGCTGGCTTCCCTGCCACATAATTTGCAGATGGGTTGCATGCTCAGGGCTGCAGCAATCAGTGGGCAGAGGGGAGAGAATTCCACAGTCCTCATGCCCACCTATGGAAGAGGCAGCAGGAGTGGGAGATGATAGTGAAACGAGAGGAGCTGGGCTGGATTACCTCACAGTGTTAACTTCACCCCTAATAACCTGTTCCCTTTCCAATTCAAGATACTTCTCTTCCCTGCTGGCACTTACAGTACATTAAAAAAAAAAACAAAAAGAAGAAGAAAAAAGAACTCATCACACACGACTGTGCTTAGACTGAATTTGATGCTGATGAACCAGACTTTGTACTCATGTCCAGCCAACATGCATATTTGCAGGACTGGGGCTGGACTCCTAAGCTCATATACACCCAAGTACATAGAGACAACCAGAAAGCAAGTAAATGGTAATGAGTATTTTGTGTGAGTGTGAGAAATGCTTTATTTTTCTTTTGTAGCATCTGCTGCAAGAGGCAGAGGACCAGTCTGAGCAAATGCACACCAGGAGGCCCTCAGCAATCTGGGGACACTGCATGATGTTAAAAACCAAGAGGAAATGAAAGCAGAGATGGGAGCTGACAAACAGTCCCAGGGTGAGATAGCACAGAGAGCCAAGTTTGAGCAGACTCTGCACTGGCTTGCAAGTCTCACTTCCCCTCACAACTCAAAGCTTCTGATAACAGACAAAACATTTTCACTGTACTTCCTTGTTCTTGCAGATGGGAGCTGTCATAACTGACATTACTGCATTTTCCAGCCAGTTCTTTCTCCTTGTGCTTTCCAGGCTTTCTTCGTTAGCATCTCAGGCCTGTTTGGGTTTTTTTTTCCTTCTTTGCCACAGAGAAAGTGGCTGCTGCGTCTGCTGGAGCCACTCTACAAGAGTTGGAAGGGGATGGCAGATTTGAACTCTGAGGGGATAGCATGAAAAATGGACAACACTCCCCATCCCCAGTTCCAATGAAGGTACATTCATTTGTTACAGTCTGTTCTGACTCCTTATTGCTGATGGAGAAAGAAAAAACTCATTCATTCAACTTAATCTAGACCTCAGCTTCAGGATAAAGCAGCACCCAGGCAAGGAGAGCAGCTCTGGCTATGCAGCATTGCAATACTCCCCCTCTATTGCCCTATATAAATGCTGTTCTAGCTACAAGTACACAGCACAAGGCTATATGGGGAAAGCTATCTCCATCCTAGCCAGACCCAATACACAGGTTAATGGTTAGGCTTGATGATCTTGAAAGTCTTTTCCAACCTCAGTGGTTCTCTGATCCTGTGTCTCCTGTGGATGGACAGGACTTGAGGCTGAGCACAATGGGAAGGGCACTGGTTCTACCGAGATGATGTTTGTCTTCCTGGTCTAGATGCAAAGAGGCTACATGAAACCTGTGTGTATTCACATCCCCAGGCAGGCTCTGCAAAACTCCCCGTGAACTGGTGGTGTCTCTCCAGCACAGGCAGTTTTGAGCTATGGAAAGCAGCTTCTCAGGGTTTTGAGCACAATCCCATGACCAATTATGACAATCCATTTTGCAGCTGCATGCCCGCTTCAAGGACAGGCTCTCTGGGGTCAGCATGCATCAGGTAGAGCCCCAACCCATTGCCAGTCATTGCAAACACCACCAGGCTGCCCTGGTACTGCAGCAGCTGATTGCATCTATTTGCTTAGGCATCCACTGCCTCCAGATGATGTGGAAGGGTGTGAGTATGGACTCTGATATGCTTTAAGCATCCTGAACTCATCTACCTGTCTGTCCACCTGCTCTCATGTTTTCTGCCTCACAGCATTTGCTCTGATAAGATCCAAGCAAGAGGGCTTATCATAGAACTGTCCAAATTGGAAGAGACCTTTAAGGAAGGGTCCTCTAGGCCCACTCCCTGCACTGAACAGGGACACCCACAGCTCCATCAGTGCTCACAGCCCATCCAGCCTGACCTTGGCTGTCTGCAGGGATGGGACACCACTGCTTCTCTGTGCAACCTGTGCTCGTGCCTTATAACTCTTATGGTAAAGAAACTTTTTCCAATTTAATTGTCCCTTCTTTTAATCTGAACCATTTCCCTCTGTCCTATCACCTAACTTCCAGCATTTGCTCTGATATAACCCAAGCAGGATGGCTTGAACTCCATCACCCAGCATCTCTTTAACTAAGCACAGTCCAAGGATCCGTGTTTCCTGCAGAGGGTTCAGCGCTGCATCTTCACCTCAACTCATCCCAGCACAATGCTGCAAAACCCTCCAGGAAGGTGCATAGGCACCAAAACCGCTGCTGGGGCTCATAATGACAAGGTGCAGGGCAAAAGGGCTCCCAGAGTTCCCCAAATGATGGAGGAGACAAACACCTGTGCTGACAGTGGGACATCAGAAACTGAAAAATCTGGACATAGAATGGATTGCACAAGCAAAGAGCAGGGTGCAAGGATGCAGATGGATGCAAGGGCACGCTGTGATTTCCACTACCCCTGGCATGCCTGCTTTGCATGCTGATGAGCATATGAAAGGGACAGCAGCATCCGTACCAGGCACAGGCTGGCTCTGGCTTGCACACCAGGATTTTGCCATGGTCTCATCTTGGATACAGCAAGCATCGCCCTTGAGCAGAATGAGGAGAAGGCTGGGCACTGAACTGAGAGCAGAGATTCTTCGTGGCAGGGAAACGTCAGGTTTTACAGTGCAGAGGGAGGGACAGACATTTTCAAGCTAACAGTCCGAAATCACAAAAAACACATGCAGTGCTCAGACAAACAGTGAGTAAATCAGGAATCCAGCAGGCTTATTTTAAACCAAACTTGTGACACCGAGAAGCGAGAAGAAGCTGGCAATTTCCAGCGATCATGTGATGGACAAAGCAACGAGCAATTAAAGAAAAGGGAGCAAGAAGGGGAATAACAACAACAAAAAAAAAGAGAGAGAGAGAGAAACCCCAAGGTCGGCACCGGCTGTTTTGCGTTCACAGAGCCCCTATTCTTTCCCTCCCGCGGGGGTGTCGGAGCAGCTGAAAGCCACATTCATCAGCAGGGCGCCTCGCTGCCATCCCTCCTCACCCCCATCTCCGGGGGATTCACTTATTTTGGCTGCTCCCAATTAAAAGCAACCAAGTATCGTTTGTTCAGGGACGGAGCTGCCAGGAGGGGGTGAACGGTGGCCAGGCGGGATCATTGCAGCCACAATACCAACCGTGGCCCAGAGGAGGAACGATCCCGTTCCAATTTTTCTCTCCCTTTCTTCAAAAGTAATTGGAAACTCGAGCTTTTTCCCAGCTCTTTTGCTTTTGGTCACAGTCTCATGGAAGGATTTGAATGAGAAGATTTCCTGCAGGGTACGGCTGATTTTCCCACCAGCCCGGCCTCGGTGTTAACTCTGTAAGTCAGCCTGTAACAGCTCCATGTATTGGCTTGCAGGATGCTGTGTGGGCATCAGGCATTGACACATGCACATCTGCTTCCAGACAGGCAGCAGTGCCTGGGAAACAAAGCAGAGGGGTCCAGAGAACTCAGCCCTGGGGAAGTCTTTAACAAATGCACTGCATTTATAAAGAAAGGTGGTTGTGTACGGCGTGAAAGTAACAACAAATTCCTGAATTCCACTCTTCTGAGAGCTGTGCAAAAGCCCATCGACTGCACCACAGGTTGCTGTTTTGGAAAGGATCCACCAGAGATGAGAAATGGAGATCCTAGAATGGCTCGTAGCAGCAGTTCTGCATCCTCTCAGCACCATCAGAAAGTGGAGGTCCCCCAACTGCTCAGATGTTCTGCAAATTGGGTTTCCAGCTCCCAGTATTAAATGAGAATACAAATCATAGAATCATGAAATCACAGAAAATCCTCATCTGCCTGAAGAGAGCTAGGTATTCTGCTCCTGATGTGCTGCTGTAACACACCAGGCCATGCTGGGACTGCAGAACAGAACACTACACTGAGTATTTTATTTGCCTTGACACGTTTGTGTGCCCAGTTACGTCCACATCAGCCCAATAGTTGTGTTATGAGTACTCAGCCAACAAGGAATCTGCGTGGGTCAGGATGCTTCGGAAGGAAATGGGTGATATAGAGCCAAAGCTGGAAAATACCTTCAAGACAATCAAGCCATAGAATCACAGGATGGTTTGGGTTGGCAAGGACATAAAACCCACCCAGCTCCTGCTGTGAGCAGGGATACCTCCCACAGCCCAGGCTGCCCATCCATGGCCTTGGGTACTGCAGGGGTGAGCACACAGCTCTCTGGGCAGCAGTGCCACTGCCTTACCTTCCTCACTGTGAAGCATTACTTCCTTACATCCAATCTATTTCTCCCCTCTTTTAGTTTAAGGCCATTACCTCTGGTCCTATCGCTACACTTTCTGACAGAGTCCTTTCCACCTTCCCTGTAGGCTCTTTAGGTATTGGAAGGCTACAGTGAGAACTCCTCCAAGACCTCTCCAGACTGAATATACCCAGGTCTCAGCCTGTCCCCATAGGAAAGGTGCTCTACCCTCTGAGCATCTTCATGTCCTCCTCTGACTGCGCTCCAACAGCTCCACGTCCTGGTGCTGGGGCCCAGAGCTGTACGCAGTGCTTCAGCTTGGATTTCATGAGGCCCCACCACCAAATCCAACCATTAACCTTACCTAATGAATCCCACCACTAAACCGTGTCTCTTAGTGATGTTACGGTGGAGTCACCCTCCCTGGAGGTGTTCCAGAACTGTGGACACGTGGCACTGAAGGATGTGGCCAGCAAGTATGGTAGGGATGGGCTGACAGTTGACTTAGGGCTCTTAGAGATGATCAACCTTAATGATTCTATGATTCACTGGAGACCTTGAAGGGCAAGCTGCAAAGTAACCTGACTTCTGCTAAGAAGCAAAGTAACCTGATAAAAATTTCACAGAGTATAGCCCAAATTCTACCTTTCTGTATATACTCACGGCACAGAGCTGAAGCAAGGTTTGTCCAAGTTTGTGTTAATTGGGAGATTGATGCCTGATGATGACAGGACAGCATCCACTGAGGATGGTAGGAGATGGCAGGGTTCCCTTGCTGCTGGTAGTGGCATCTCCCCTGCAATTTCTGGTCAGGAAAATAGCTGGACTGGATGCCAGTTGAGCTGTGTAGAGCCATGAGTGCCTCTCAACGTGAGCTCAGCATTGCCTGCACCTTGAGCTGATCCAGGGGATGAGAGCAGCAGGGACAGCAGAGTGAGCATTGAGCTAAGTAGGGATGGAGCAACAAGCTCTGCAGCAAAGTTTTGGGGACACAGCAACGTCCTGTGGTATGCTGGGCACCCAATGTTAGGAAACCAAAGACTTGGAGGTAGTATTTATCATAGACTTGAACCCAGAGCCAGATATCACATGCAAGGGTTGGAAGATCTCTGGAGATCATCAAGCCCAACCCCTCACCAAAGCATTTCCCTACAGTAAATTACACAGGAAAGCATCCAGGTGGGTTCTGAATATCTCCAGAGAAGAGTCCACCACCTCTCTGTGCCAGTGCTCCATCACCCACAAAGTAAAGTTGTTTTTCTGCATGTTTGTATGGAACTCCCTATGTCCCAGTTTGTGCCACTGCCCTTTGTTCTGTCACTGGGCACCACTGAAAAGATCTTGATCCCACACTTTAGATATTGATAAGCATTGATAAGATCCCCCCTCAGTCTTCTCTTCTCCAGTCTGAACAGCCCCAGGGCTCTCAACTTTTCCTCATACAGGAGATGCTCCAACCCCTTCAGCTGGACTCTCTCCAGCAGTTCCCTGTCTGTCTTGAGCTGAGGAGCCCAGAACTGGACACAGTTCTCCAGATGTGGCCTCCCCAGGGCAGAGCAGAGGAGAGAATCACCTCCCTCTCCCTGCTGGCCAGACTCTGCTAAATGCACTTCAGGAAACCACTGGCCTTCTTGGCCACTGCAGGCTCACAGCCAACCAAGACACTGAGATTTTTCTCCGCAGAGCTCCTTTCCTGGAGGTCAGCCCTAACCTGTACTGATGTCTGCAAGTCAACTTGCCCTCGTTGAACCCCACCAGGTTCCTCTCTGTCAACAATCAGCCTGCCCACATCTCTCTGAATGGCAGCACAGCTCTCTGCTGTGTCAGCCACTCCTCCGAGCTCTGTATCATCAGCAAAATTGCTGAGGTTGCATTCTATCCCTCCATCCAGGTCATTGATGAAGATGTTGAATGAGACCAGACCCACAGGTTTTTCTTCTGACCTCACTACACCTTTGTTCTTTGCCCTTTCTAGATTTGCTCACCAGTTTCTTCCCCCCCTCCACCCTCCCTCTCCTCCACACACCCACCCAAAGCTTTCAGATAGCTGTGAGATACCAGGGAGCAGCCTGCACCCACCAGGTGGAGCACCCTGACCTGAGCTCACCAGCACAGAAACAAATGCAAAGCATACTCCCCATCAGTGACCTGTGCCTGCCACGTTGTTTGCACGCTCCTAGCCCAGTTTTGTTGCAGCCACCCACGTGCAATTTGGGTAACTCCACCTTGCTTTGGAGCGAACAAGGTTTAGGCATGCAGGCAGCTGTACCCTGCCAGCAAGCTGTCATTCAGTCATGCAGTGATGGAGTGGGGTGGCTGACCTGACCCGCTTCACACGCCAGCACTGGATTGAGCTGAATGGTGCCAAAGAAATGCCCTTTTTTTTTTCTCTCCCCACAGGCTGAAAAGGGAATTTGGATTTATTTCAACTGCATTTTGCTTTCACAACCTACATCTCCTCCTGCCACTGTCTGTGCAGCATCCTTCCCTCCCATCGCTGTGCACACAGCATCCCTGGGGCCTCTTTGCCCCAAAAGCATTGCTAGAAGATGTCTCCGAGCCTCCAGGCTGAGCCTGCTTAGCTTTACTACAAACAAGCCATCACCCACAAAAAGCCTGATGCTCAAAAACATTTTGAAGGCTGCAGATTTTCAAGCTTGGCTCATCAGAAAAAAATGCCCATCCATCACGTGCGGCACCGCCGCTGCTGCGAGCAGGGAGAGAGGCAGCAAGCAGAGCCTGCAGCTGTGTGCCAGCCCTGGAGCTGTGAGCTGCTGTCCTCCCTTCACTCCATGTCCTCCAAGGTGAGCAGAGCTGCCCTTCAGCTGCACACAAAGCCCCCAGCAATGGCTGGCGGAGCAGATGGCTGATTTCCCCCTGCAAACATGGAATGCTAAGGATTTGCTGGGGGAGAATTAAAGCATATACACCCGGGGACATAAGGTATGGCCACCAGCTTGCAGATCTCATATGCAGCCCCATAAATCACGGCTCCTAGCAGCCTTCCAGGGCAACGCACTCTTTCTGTGCTCTGGGTTTGCTGCACAGAGGGACACAACCACCTCCCTGGCTTCAGGCACAGCTTCAATGTAAATACATACAAGCAGCAACCCCTGCAGAACGGCGATTCCCTCAGGCCAGGGCAGTTAAACAACACCTTTGCGGGAGGAAACGTGCAAAGGCGTGCGGTTGGGCTCGGCGGTGTCGTGCTTCTAGGAATTGTTTGTGATACGCTGCACCCCTCCGAGCTGAGAGCGGTGCGCTTGGCTGCTCGCCGTCCCCTCCCTGCCCCAGCAGCGAGCACAAACAGCCCCGCAGCCCGCATTCCTCTCCCGCAGGGCATCCAAATGTCCTTTCTCATGACCTTTCCATGACTGCAGCATCGCGGCGTCACCCACGTCCTCATCCTCAGCCCTTCGGGTTGCTGGCCATGCAGCGACCTCCCAGCTAAACGCCCCTCCAGCATGGAGGGGTACCTCATAGAGTAGTTTGAGCTGGAAGAGACCCTTAAAAGCCATCTGTCCCTGCACTGAACAGGGACACGCACAGCTCCATCAGCGCTCACAGCCCCATCCAGCCTGACCTCAGCTATTTGCAGGGATGGGGCACCACCGCCTCTCTGTGCAACCCGTGTCAGCGCTTCGGCGAACTCATTTCCCACCCCCAACCACCCCACAGCACCCAACAACCGAACCACACCTCCATCCCCGCAGCGCAGAATAAAGGCACCTGCGATCTCCCCGCAGAAGCGAGATGCTCACCTAACGAAAACCCAACGCCTTCAGCAAACAGCCCGGCGAGCAAAACCCCCAAAACCATCACCGCGGAACCCGAAACGGTTCTCCTCCCTCTCCCTTCTCCCCACGTTCGCCACGAACCTCGCTGTCCCCGCACTCACCGCACCGCACCGCCGTGTCCCGCAGCCACCGCCTCCGGGCACCGCGCGCATGCGCACAGCCCCGCCCCGGGTTGTCCCCGTCCCCCCCCCGGTCGGGAAGTGCTGCGGAACCCAGGGAGCGGATCTGCCGTTTTGTGTCTTTCTGCTCTCGTGGGTGCCGTCCAACCAAAGCTTCGAGGGTATCGCTTTGTTTGCTTGCCCCGTGATGACGTGTTACTCGTGTTTCCAGCTCTGAGCTGAATGCTTGGGGTACTTTACACCCTGAAATGAATCATCCGCTTCCCTCCCTCCCGGACAAACCCCAGGTGTGGTTGTGTTTGCTCGGGAGATTGCTCCCTGCAATCAGCTGGGCCAGGTTGGGCTCTCCCTGTCCAGCCCCCATCCTCAAACAGGTGTCTGCAGGGGTTAAAATGGATGGGAACCTTTTATTTTGGAGGTGGGGGGATGCTGTTCACCAAAATCATAGAATGGTTTGAGTTGGAAGGGATCCTTCAAAGCCACTGAGCAGCGACACCCACAGCTCCATCAGTGCTCATCCAGCCTGACCTTGGCTGTCTGCAGGGATGGGGCACCCACAATCTCTGTGCAACCTGTGCCAGTGCCTCACCACCCTTACTGTAAACAACTTCTTCCTTATATCCAGTCTCAATTTCCCCTCTTAGTTTGAAACCGTTCCTCCTTTTCCTATCACAACAGACCCTGCTAAAGAGTCCGTCCCCTTCTTTCTTACACCCCCCTTTAGATACTGGCAGCCACTCTCAGGTCTCCCTGTAGCCTTCCCCTCTCCAGGCTGCACAGCCCCAGCTCTCTCAGCCTGTGCTCATAGGAGAGCTGTTCCATTTTTGGGACCCTCTCTGGATGCTCTCCAACAGGTCCACGTCTCTCCTGTACTGAGAACTCCCCATCTGGATGTTGGGTCACCAATCAACAAAAGGGAAGCACTGAACACGGCGGATTTTACCACCTTCCGTAGTTTCTATCACCACGGACCACATTGCATAACTTTGGGCTCAGGGCTTTTCTGCCTCATGGAGGCAAGCATGCACTGTGACAGTCAGATGAGAATTACTAATGTGCTTTGCTCACAGTGCCACACATACAGCTTCTCAAGCCAGGCAACCACTTCTCTAAGCAATGACTGAGCACATAAACAGGAGGGGGAACGGCTGTTTGTGAGGTGGATAGTGATAAGACAAGGGGGAATGGTTTAAACTGAGACAGGGGAGGTTCAGGTTGGATATGAGGAGGAAGTTTTTCAGCCAAAGGGTGGTGAGGCACTGGAACAGGTTGCCCAAGGAGGCTGTGGATGCCCCATCCCTGCAGGCATTCAAGGCCAGGCTGGATGTGGCTCTGGGCAGCCTGGGCTGCTGGTTGGTGACCTGCACACAGCAGGGGGTTGGAACTGGATGAGCACTGTGGGCCTTTGCAACCCAGGCTGTTCTATGATTCTATGGCTCTATGCTTGGGTCCTGTGGCTGAGGGCTGGGGTCACCCCCAATAAGTGGGATCCCATCCCTGGTGGGTGCAGAACGACAGTGCTTTGGGTGCAGATGGGTGATTTCCAGGCTCGGAGCAGGGAAGAAAATGAGGAATAAAAGGAGCCAGCTGTCACTGCCTTTAGTAACAACCAGAACTCATGATAACAGATGAGCAGACAGAAATAGCAACGCGAAAGCTCCAGGGATCTATATTTGGGCTATTCAGACCTCCCTGGAAATGGAGTATTATTCATTGCTTTATTTTGCTTTTGCACGACAGGAGAAGGGATTCATCCACAGCATCCTGGAGGCACTGGGGGAGCTGAGCATCGCATGCAGGACCACAGGAAGACTTCATCAGCTGTGTGAACACGGAGCTGCACCCACTTGCACCCACCAGGCTTTCTGCTCTGGGAAGCAGAAGGTGGCTACGATGCATCCCAGCATACTGAAGGTCAGAGTCTTAACTTTTACTTCCTTGCCATGCTCTCCTGGTGAGATACAAGCAGCTCCGAGTGCACTGAAGTAAAGAAATCCCATTAAGATACACTGATAGTTGTTTGCTGTGGTTTGCTTCCCAGACATAAGTAAAAAAGAAAAGTCAGTTTAAAGATTTACAGAGTGAGTGGGAATAATAAATACTTGAAGAAAATAAGATCAGAACTACCTGAGATGATGCAGATTCGAGTGGGTGACATTCCCAAGGGGGAATGGTTTTAAATGAGACAGGGGAGGTTTAGGTTGGATCTTAGGAGGAAGTTTTTCAGCCAGAGGGTGGTGAGGCACTGGAACAGGTTGCCCAAGGAGGCTGTGGTTCCCCATGGAGGCATTCAAGGCCAGGCTGGATGTGGCTCTGGGCAGCCTGGGCTGCTGGTTGGTGACCTGCAGGGGGTTGGAGCTGGATGAGCACAGTGGTCCTTTTCAACCCAGGCCATTCTGTGATTCCCCCACCTATGATATGTAAATGGGATTAGGATAAGGCTTCCTCCAGTGCTGAATTGTGTTTCCCATATTTGGCCCTGATGTGATGAGACTCAGAATGACCCTCCACTCGCAAGCACCGACTCCGTGGTTGGAGTTCAGCTCCAACTGCTGCTTCACTCCAGTGAATTTGGGGTTGTCTTTCTGCAGGTTTGGAGCTGTGGTTTGGAGCATCCCCCCTCCAGGGACAGCAGCTTAAAAATTGACTTCTGGCTTGAGAATTGATTTTGAAGCAAAACAAGGGAAAAACACAGAGTCTTAGAGGGACCATAGGGCTCCCATAAAGGGATCTCAGAATCCCTGTGCACATGAGATATAACAGAAATGCCTGCCTGGATATTATATCTACACCCGCCCCTGATTTTTCTGGGCTTTTATTCATTTCCCTGTGAGCTCCGCAGCCCTTGCTCTGCATGCATTTAGGTGCCTGATTCCACTTTGTTATCCATTGTAAATCTGGAGTTTCTGGATCATTACAGCGAGAGCTGCCTCTGCTGCTGCCTCCATCCCTTGGCCTTCCCTGACCTGCTGCAATGAATTATTCACACAGCAGTTGCTCATGAATAACAACAGGCAGTTATTTTTAGCCCTAACTCTTATTACCGTGCTGCCCTTTGTTCACAGCCAGCTCCTTATTTTCGGCAGGAGGAACCTTGCAACACTGCTGTGGGCTGGGACTCCCTTTGGATTGACACATTACCAGTTCCTTTCCAGTTTATGGGTTGGCCATCTACCTTCTTCCTTGTTAAGATCTGATGAGTGGGGTTGGGGGCTTTCTGTCACTCCTCTCTGCTGTCCCCACGCTGTCACCTGCAATGAAATTCATAGAATCACAGAATGGCCTGGGTTGAAAAGGAACTCAAACATCATCCGGTTCCAACCCCCTGCTATGTGCAGGGTCACCAACCAGCAGACCAGGCTGCCCAGAGCCACATCCAGCCTGCAAACAGTGTGAAAGAATCTAGCAAAAGCAGGATGCATCTTTAAAAGGATTTGTCCTAAAGCAGCCCCATCAGTTAACAACGGGATTTCTGATCACTTTCTGGTGCAGATACACGAAAGGAGAAGGGGAAAAAGGACAGCGATTGCTTCCTGCAGTTACTCCTGCAGCTGCTCCCTCTGCTGAGCCTTTGGCATGGGTGAATATTTACAGATGGTTTTAGCTCAGATGCCATCAGGGGACACAGCCCAGCTCGGGTGCCTGCTGGGACTCACAGTTTGTTCAGCTTTCTCATTATTGTTCTATTTTTAATCATAGTTTAGGTAATTATTAAAGGTAATAGAGATCCTTAATACCCAGGTTGCCCAAGGAGGCTGTGGATGCCCCATTCCTGCAGGCATCCAAGGCCAGGCTGGATGTGGCTCTGGGCAGCCTGGGCTGCTGGTTGGCGACCTGCACACAGCAGGGGGTTGGAACTGGATGATGTTTGATGTCCTTTTCAACCCAGGCCGTTCTACGATTCTATGATCCACTTTGCTATCTGCAGCTACACGGGAAAACAGACACCCGGTCACTGCGCTTTGGGGCAGCAACAACCTAAAACGGGTCTTTTTCCCAGATCCGACGGTAATATGAAATTAAAAATAAATACACTCATTAATATTCTCAATCTCGCTGCTGACACCCAAAGCCGGGACCGGAGCTCAGCTGCCGGCCCGCAGATTCCAGATCCCCGCCCCATGCGGGGAGCGCTGCCCTCCGCACCACCCCTCCGCGCCGATTGGCTGCCGCTGCTGCTCGTCAACTCTCGCGACTTCCTCTTTGCTTCCCATTGGCTGACTCGCGGCGGCGCCGCCCAATGAGGAGCGGAACTCCCCCCGCGGTGGCGGGAAAACGCTCGGTTTTGGCGCCAAAGGAGGAGCGTGGAGACCGCTGCGATCGGGGCCGGCGTTCGGGATCGCATCGTGGGCGCCGCCGGGGATCGTTTAGGATCCATTCAGGAGCAACCCGGTGCCTGACTGTTTGCTACCACATCCCGGCACCATGGCAGCTCCGGCAGGCGGGTTGGACGACGCGGAGCTGCGAGAAGCACAGCGGGATTACCTGGATTTCCTGGACGATGAGGTGAGGAGCGGGGCTGCATCCCGCCCTTGTTCCCAGGGCTGCGCACGGCTTCACGCCAACCCCACCAACCGGAGCCCGTGGTTCTGGGGCTGCGTTTTTGTTTTTCCCCAGAGAGGGAAATGGCTGTGAGAAATTGAGGGTTGCGTTGTATCTGTGCAGGAAGATCAAGGGGTTTATCACGGCAAAGTACGCGATATGATCAGCGACAACCAGTACCGCCTGCTGGTCAACATCAACGACCTGCGGAGGAGGAACGAGAAGAGAGCCAGCCGGTGAGTGGAACCGGGGGGAGCAGGAGGGGCTGCTGTGCCATCCAGCCCTTCCGTGCTTGCGATTGGCAAAACCTGTTTGTTGGAGTCCTTAGAGTGAGCTGCCGTTGTTTGCGTGGTGTGGGGCGGCTCAGCTTTTAGGGTTCTGGGTTTTTTTTTGCACGAGGAGAGATGACAGCCTCAACTCCGAGGTTTGGGTTGGGTGTTAAGAAATATTAAGAGTGATTTCTTCTCGTAAAGAGCGGTGATGCAGTGGCACAGCTGGTGGTGAGGTCACTGTGCATGGAGGTGTTCCAGAACCGTGGGGATGTGGCACTGGGGGACACAGTGGGCATGGTGGGGTGGGCTGGGGTTGGGCTGGGTGCTTGCAGAGGTGTATCACAGAATCACAGAATGGTTGGGTTGAAAGGGACCTCAAGGATCATAAAGCTCCAACCCCCCACCACACGCAGGGCCACCAACCTCCACATTTCATAGCAGCCCAGGCTGCCCAGGGCCCCATCCAACCTGGCCTTGAACACCTCCAGGGATGGACGGGGCATCCACAGCCTCTCTGGGCAGCTGTTCCAGCACCTCACCACTCTCATAGCAAACAACTTCCCCCTGACATCCAACCTCAATCTGCCCTCCCTCAACTTCAAACAATTTCCCCTTGTCCTGCTGTTATCTACCCTTTCAAAGAGTTGATTTCCACCCTTAATTTCCTGTTATGTTTTCCAGATATAACTGTCCTTATTCACCATCTTGGTTTCTGTGAGCTGTGGGATCCTTTTTTAATAATATTCCCAATACTCTTTCAGAATACGTGTGGCATCTGGAAGAGCTTTCTTAGAGCTGCCTGTGGGGATGGCAGAAGGGGTTGCCAACAAGATGCAACTCTCAACCATCACCTCCCTCTCTTTGCAGGCTTTTGAACAACGCCTTTGAGGAGCTCATTGCCTTCCAGCGTGCTCTGAAGGACTTTGTTGCCTCTGTTGATGCCACCTATGCCAAGCAGTATGAGGATTTCTACATTGGGCTGGAGGGCAGCTTTGGTTCCAAGCACGTCTCGCCACGGACGCTGACTGCCTGCTTCCTGAGCTGCATCGTTTGTGTGGAGGGCATCGTGACAAAGTGTGAGCCTGGGGGCAGGTTGGGGTGCTGGGCAGGGTGAGGAGCAGAGGGTTGGGGTGTTTTGTACAGCAGGAGTCTTACAGGACCAATGGCAGGACAGCTGCAATGAGGGTAACAGGGGACTTGGCAAAAGATGGGAGTTTTGGGAACTCTGCCTTATATGACCTTATATCATATCACAGAATCATAGAAAGATCTGGGTTGAAAAGGAACACAATGATCATCTAGTTCCTACACCCTCGCTATGTGCAGACCAGCAGCCCAGGCTGCCCAGAGCCACATCCAGCCTGGCCTTGAATGCCTGCAGGGATGGGGCATCCACAGCCTCCTTAAGCAACCTGTTCCAGTGCCTCACCACCCTTGGCTGAAAAACTTCCTCCTCATATCCAACCTAAACCTCCCCTGTCTCAGTTTAAAACCATTCCCCCTGTCCTATCACTATCCATTCTCATAAGCAGCCATCCCCCCTCCTGTTTATACGCTCCCTTCCAGTACTGGAAGGCCACAATGAGGTCTCCCCAGAGCCTTGGCACTCTGGTTGCCAGCACTTGTGTCCTGCACAACTAGTGGATATCTTTTTAGTGTTTCATGGTGACAAATAGGTGGGACTTTCCTGCCCCTAACTCTTCTTTCTTCCAAACCCAGGCTCTCTGATTCGTCCTAAGGTTGTCCGGAGTGTCCATTATTGCCCAGCCACCAAGAAGACTATTGAGCGCCGATACACAGACTTGACATCCCTGGATGCTTTCCCTTCCAGCTCTGTTTACCCTACAAAGGTGAGGTGAAGCAGCCTCATATGGGGAATATCTGCAGGTTCCTCTGGGGAGAATGTGCTGGTTCCGAGGGCAACCTGATCAGCTGGTGGTTTGCATGCTTGTATGTGGCAAGGGAATTGAAACTGATTGTCTTTAGGGTTTTTTCCAGCCCAAACCATTCTAGCATCGTATGGTTGCTGTCCTGGAGGGTACATGGACCCTTGTGTGCAGGGATTGCCCTGTGCTTGGGAATGGAGGAAGGCTGACCTGAGCTGTGTCTGTGCTGCACATGCATTCTTTTGCACAGACTGGAAGCAGTGCTTGGAGAGCTCTAATGTAGCAGTGCTGGGTGCTGACAGCATTAGATCAGGGGAAGCTGTATTGCTGATCAACTCCAGGATCTGAAAGTCCTGGTAAAGCAACCCTTTGCAGCACTCTTGTGTTGTGTGATGCTTTCTTCCCATTGCTGCTGATTTCTTTATTGCTTTGCCTTCCTCCTTAAGGATGAGGAGAATAACCCCCTGGAGACAGAGTTTGGCCTCTCAGTCTACAAGGACCATCAGACCATCTCCATCCAGGAGATGCCTGAGAAGGCACCAGCAGGGCAGCTGCCACGCTCAGTGGATGTCATTCTGGATGATGACCTGGTGGACAAAGTGAAGCCTGGAGATCGCATCCAGGTGGTCGGGACGTATCGCTGCCTGCCAGGAAAGAAAGGAGGTTACACATCAGGGACGTTCAGGTGAGCCTTCTGTTGGCTCGAAGGACAACATCAGCCCTGCCACTCCTCTTTAGCAGGGTCCCATCTCTGGAAGATAAGATAAAGCAGGCTGGATGGGGCTGTGAGCAACCTGGTCTAGAGGGAGGTGTCCCTGCCTATAGTAGGAGGTTGGAACTGGATGATTTTAAAGGTCCCTTCCAACCCAAACCATTCTATGCATTTCTGCTGTTGTTACGGTGACCCTGAAGGCTCTGCGAGTGATCATGGCTGTGTCACTTTTCCAGGACTATCCTCATTGCCTGCCATATCAAGCAGATGAGCAAAGATGCTCGGCCTCTCTACTCTGCTACTGATGTGGCCAAGATCAAGAAGTTCAGTAGGAATCGCTCTAAGGTATTTATGTAGCTCTTATTTCTAAGGTCGTCTTCTGTGATTTTTCTACTTGCTTTCTCTGCATTTTCTACATAGCTTTTTGTCAATTTCTGTGATGTATGTGTCTGTATATATATGTATATATACACACATGTATATATTGCATATATGTAGCTATAATAGAGTTTCTTGATGGCTCTGCTCTGTTGTGCAGAGCTGCTGAAATGGAGCTCTGGCTGGACTCTGTGTGCCCCACTGCTTACTGGTTGTCAGAGAAGCTCCTCTGCAAAATTCTACTTTTCCTCCTTAAACCTAAGAATAGAATTAGATGACAGCCTGGATTTCTGAAAGGAAATAAAGCAAAATGCCAGTTCTTTGGCTGGGGGATGGAATGGGGTCTGCCCTAGCCTGGTCCTGCGTTCAGATCTTTGTTCTTGTGGGGTTGCTGCTTTCAGTGCTTGCAAGGTGGTTTAGGACTTCAGAGCCCCATTGAAAGAATATTCCAACTGTCTTTTCCCATCTAAGTAATCTTTGTCAGTGCAGTTCTGTGATAGGAATAAGTTCTTTTTTTGGTGCTGAAATGGGCTTGTGAAGAATTGCTCCTTGTTCTTCGGTCCACTTACAGGCTGTGCTTTGCTTCTTCTGCTTTTAGGATATCTTTGACCAGCTGGCAAGATCCCTGGCACCCAGCATCCACGGGCACGAGTTCATCAAGAAGGCCCTTCTGTGCATGCTGCTTGGAGGGGTGGAGAAGGTCCTGGAGAATGGGAGCCGCATCCGAGGAGACATCAACATCTTGCTGATAGGTAGGATTTTATCATCTCCAAGGACAGAGGCAGCTGTGGCTGGGCTGTGGGAGTGAGATGAGGGTGTTCAAATGGAATTTCCACGTTGCTTCTTCTCCTGTCACCATATGTGTCTCAAAACCCCGGCTCCATCTTCTTCCTATCGGGTTGATGGAGAACACGATCCACTCACCTTCTTTTCTGAAAGATGAACAAACTCAATTCTTAGTCACTGACATTCATTTCCCTGCTGATGCTGTTTGCTAAACCCAACTTTCTCTCTTTCAGGAGACCCTTCTGTTGCCAAATCCCAGCTGCTGCGCTATGTGCTGAGCACTGCTCCCCGTGCCATTGGCACCACTGGCAGGGGCTCCTCTGGTGTTGGCCTGACTGCTGCTGTCACCACCGACCAAGAAACCGGTAAGGAACGTGCTGGTTCCCAGTGGGAGCTGGTGGAGGGATGGTAGTAAAATGAACTCTGCAAGGTTCAGGACTGTTTGTCATAGAATCACAGAATGGCCTGGGTTGAAAAGGATCATCCAGTTGCAACTATGTGCAGGTTGCCAACCAGCAGCCCAGGCTGCCCAGAGCCACATCCAGCCTGGCCTTGAATGCCTGCAGGGATGGGGCATCCACAACCTAACCTCCTTGGGCAACCTGTTCCAGTGCCTCACCACCCTCTGGCTGAAAAACTTCCTCCCAGAGTGGACATCCTTGAGACTGAGGGCGATGATCCTCCTCACAGGGATGCTGCTGCAGTGGAAGGAGACAGCAAGAGATACTTAGATCCGTTAAACAACACCGACCTTCTTTTCTGCACCCTCCCATCTCAGGTGAACGACGTCTGGAAGCAGGGGCCATGGTGTTGGCTGACAGGGGTGTGGTGTGCATCGATGAGTTTGACAAGATGTCTGACATCGACCGTACGGCCATCCACGAAGTGATGGAGCAGGGCCGTGTCACCATCGCCAAGGCTGGCATCCACGCTCGCCTCAACTCCCGCTGCAGCGTCCTGGCAGCTGCCAACCCCGTCTATGGCCGGGTGAGTGCTAGGGTTTGCTGCTCCCCCCAGTGTGAAGGGCTGTTAGGAGCTGTCCGTGGAAATGATAAAATCCAAAAGATCTCCCAGATTGGATTCTTAGTGGAACTGAGGTGTGAGAAGACTTGGTTTGCTTGGCTGCTTATGGGTATCGTAAAGGTGGTGGGGGTTCTGTCCAACGTGGCCTTGAACACTCCCAGGGATGGGGCATAAAATAGCATTTACTCCTTCAGCAGGCTGTGCTTTGCACGGTGTCTTTGGTGTTCAGCTGTCTGTGCATCTACTTGAAGGCCTGGCTTGAGAGCTTCTTTCCACCTTCCCAAGCAGTGACCCATGAGAATCTCTTCTAATCCCTTTCTTCAACCTCTTGTAGTATGACCAATACAAGACGCCCATGGAGAACATTGGCCTGCAGGACTCCTTGCTCTCCCGTTTCGACCTGCTCTTCATCATGCTGGACCAGATGGACTCTGAGCAGGACAGGGAGATCTCGGATCACGTCCTGCGAATGCACCGCTACCGCAACCCCAACGAGCAGGATGGGGATGGTGAGTTCCTCTTGCTGTCTATAAAGCCCAGGAGCTACAGGTTTTCTTTGGCTGTGGTTGCTTTCCTTCCCGTTAGAGCAAGAAGGGTAAAGCCCCTGATCTGGACCCTATGGCAGGGGGATTGAAACTAGATGATCATTATGGTCCTTTTCAACCAAGGCTGTTCTGTGATTCCCTTGTCCTCAGTGGGACCTTGAACACTGCAAAGCAAAAAGCATCCATCTCTCCTCTGTAGTTGGTGCCCATCTGTATTGGGCAGCTGTGGTTGAGGTGATGGGGTAGTAGATAGGGGTGGGTTCCTTGCAGTGTGACACTGTGACACAACTCCAGGCTTCCCAGGTTGTCACTTGTCACGCAGCTCTTTGGGTTCAAGTTGTCTGTGGCTTTGCTCAGTGCTGCCAGTAGGTGACTGTGAGAAGCTAAAATCCTGTTGTTGGCAACCTTTCCCTCTCCAGCCATGCCCCTGGGCAGCGCCGTGGAGATCCTGGCTACAGATGACCCTGATTTTGCACAGGAGGAGGAACAGGAGCTCCAGGTGTATGAGAAACATGACGACCTCCTGCATGGGCCCAACCGCCGCAAGTGAGTCTCCTGTCCCTTGTGCCATGTAGCTCTCTGGGGGTTTCCATGATGATGAGCTGATGCTAAAATGCTCTGGATTTGCCTGGAGCATCAGGGTGCTGGCTCATTGCTGGGGACAGTGATGCTGTAGATTGTCTACAGCAAGGTGTGTGGGTGTGATGCAAAGGGAGCCTGCTTTGGATATGCTGTTCTCAAATGCCAGGCAGGTGGGAGAACATCTGGAGCACAATTCTGCAGTGTAACTGGATGCCCCTAAGAATAGCACTTTCTCTGGGTGCAGCCTGCACGTGCCCTCTGCTTGTCCCCTGTGCTCCCCTCAAGGGCACGGCCATGTGTGCATCTCCCTGCAGGGAGAAGATCGTCAGCATGGAGTTCATGAGGAAGTACATCCACGTGGCAAAAATGATCAAGCCTGTCTTGACCCAGGAGTCAGCAGATTACATAGCAGAGGAGTACTCACGTCTGCGCAGCCAGAACCAGATGAACTCAGACATTGCCAGGGTGAGCTCCACCTTCCCTCCAATCACACCAGGAGGAAAACTGAGGCACACACTCCTCTTTCACATTACAGCTGTTTTCCTCCCTCCATCACAGAGTGGTTGAGGTTGGAAGGGAGCTGTGGATGTGAGCTCTTGGTGTTGCAAAGAGGGGTGAACCAGATGCTGGTGTGAATGCTACAGTGGGGGTCCAGCACGGTCTCATGGGCTCCAGTGTCTCACCACCATCTTTCTCCTTTCCAGACCTCCCCAGTTACAGCCCGTACCCTGGAGACATTGATCCGCCTCTCCACGGCCCATGCGAAGGCCAGGATGAACAAGACTATTGATCTGCAGGATGCAGAGGCAGCTTTGGAGTTGGTGCAGTTTGCCTACTTCAAAAAGGTGGGGGAAAGATGTGGGGTCCCAAAGGTTTTATTGAAAGGATCAGGCACTGTTGAAGCACTAAAATATCACTGGGAAGCTTTGGCAGTGCAGAATAAGAGGTGCTGTGGGAGGTTGCTGAGCCCTTCAGCTCACAGCAGGTGTGTGTGGATGAAGCTGGGGGTGTGGGTTCTGTGCAGTGGACAGGTTTGCTTTGGGAGCCATCAGGAGTGATGCTCTGGGAGGGGGGGGGGGCGGAGAGGTGGGGTCCCTGCCTGCCTTGAAATCAGGCCAAGTCCTGCTTGCTGGTTTTCATAGAATCATAGAATGGGCTGGGTTGAAAAGGACCACAATGCTCATCTAATTTCAAACCCATGCTATGTGCAGGGTCACCAACCAGCAGACCAGGCTGCCCAGAGCCACATCCAGCCTGGCCTTAAATGCAATTTCTCGTGCAGGTGCTGGAAAAGGAGAAGAAGCGCAAAAAGCAGGTGGAGGATGACTCAGAGACTGAGAAGGAGGAGGAGGAGACGCAGCCTGAGAAGGAGGGCAGGAAGCAAAGGTAGTCATGACAGGTCTTGGGGAGATACTTGCGTTAAATCCAGCGGGTCTTTTGGGCAACACTTGTAATGCTGGAGCTTTTGGGAAGAGCTCCCAAACTTCAGGTTTTGTGACCAAGTGGTGGTGGATGAGCTCTAGGCTTACCCCCAAGCTGCAGCTGCCCTGCCTTCTCCTGGCCTGATAATTCCAGGAGCCCTGGGGATGTCTCCTGAGGTCTGTCTTTTGGTGGATCAGAACTGACCTCTTCTTCCCCTACACAGGAGGAAGAAGGCACGCACAGAGGGCGAGGAGGAGTCCTACGACCCCTATGACTTCAGTGACACTGAGCAGGAGATGCCAGATGGTGAGACAGGGGTTTCAGTGGCACCACCTGGGAGTTTGGCATCACCTGCCCTGTCCAAAAAGGCCACCTGCTTTTGTGCAGCTCTCTGGCTGTTTGAATAAGCGGGCTGAAGCAACTTCTCTTCCTCTCCCAGTCCAGGCACATACTCCCAAGACACCTGAAGCCTCAGCTACTGGCGAAGCGAAGAAGCCGGAGTTGGCTGAACCACGGTGAGTGGGGGTTGGAGAAGCAGAAGGAGGATGCTTGTCCTTGCCTGCTCCATACTGACCCCATAATAACTCCATACTGACCCCATAGAGCTAGTGATCCTGTAACAGTTCCATTATGACCCCATGGAATTCCATAGTGACCCCATAAGAGCTCCTATGTAACCCCGTTAAAACTTAATGGTAACCCCATAGAGCTTCATGGTGACCCCTTATCAGTTCCCTTATGACCCCATAGAGCTCCATGGTGGCCCCATAACAGATCTACTATGATGCCATAGAGCTCCATACTGACCCCATAACAGTTGTATTATGATGCCATAGAGTTCCATAGTGACCCCATAAAAGTTCCACTGTTGCACCATAATAGCTCCATTATGATGCCATAGATCTCTATAGTGACCCCTGAACTGTTCCATTATGACCTCATAACAGCTCCATAGAGATCCCTTAGAGTTGCATTATGACGCCATAAGAGTTCAGTTTTGCCCCCATAGAGCCCCAGTGTGAGCTCGTAACAGTTGCATTATGACCCCATAAGAGATCCATGGTGACCCCATAGAGCTCCATAGTGAGCCGACAACAGTTGCATTATAACCCCTTATTGCTCACTAGTGACTGCATAACATTGCCAGAGGGACCCCATAGAGCTCCTCTGTGGCCCCATAAGTATCCCATGATGACTCCAGAAAGCTTTCTAGTGACCCCATATGATGTCCAATATGACCCCATTATAACTTCACAGTAAACCCACAGAGCTTCATGGTGACCCCTTATCAGTTCCCTTGTGACCCCATAGAGGTTTTTAGGATGTCAAAACAGTTTCATAGACACGCCATGGAGGTCCACAGTTGCCCTATTACAGTAACATTATGACCACATAGAAGCTCCACGGTGCCCCCATAACATTTCCATTCTGACCCCATCAGAGGACCGTAGTGAAGCCATAGAGTTCCTTTGTGACCCCAGTACAGTTGTATTATGATGCCATAGAGACACCATAAGAGTTCCATGGAGATCCCATAGAGTTCCATATTGACCCCATAAGAGATCAGGTTTGCCCCCATAGGGCTGCCGAGTGAGCTCGTAACAGTTTCATTATGACCCCATAAGTGTCCCATGATGCCCGCATAGAGCTTTCTAGTGACCCCGTAAGATGTCCAATAGGACCCCATTATAACTTCACAGTAACCACATAGAGCTTCATGGTGACCTCTTATCAGTTCCCTTGTGACCCCATAGAGGTTCTTAGGGATGTCAGAACAGTTTCATGGGGACCCCATGGAGCTCCAGAGTGGCCCTATAACGGTAACATTATGAACACATAGGAGCTCCATGGTGTCCCAATGACATTTCCATTCTGACCCATCCGAGCTCCATTGTGACCCCATTACAGTTGTATTATGATGCCATAGAGCTCCATAGTGACCCCGTAAAAGTTTGACTGTTACACCATAATAGCTCCATTATGACGCCATAGATGTCTGTAGTGACCTCAGAACTGTTCCATTATGACCCCGTAAAAGCTGTATTATGACCCCATAGAGCTTTATAGTGATCCCAGAAGTGATTCCATTCTGACCCTGTAGAAGCTCCATTGTGACCCCATAGAGACACCATCAGAGCTCCTTAGTGACCCCTTAGAGCTCCATTGTGGCCCCGTAAGAGTCCCATTGTGATCCCATAGAGCTTTCTAGTGACCCCATAAGAACTCCATCTTGACCCAATAGAGCTCCAAAGTGTCAATACAAAGCTGCATAGTGACCCCATAACAGTAGCATTATGACCCCATAGAGCTTGTTAGAGACCCCATAACAGTTCCATTCTGGCGGCATAGAACTTCCAAGTGGCCCCATAAGATCTCCAATGTGACCCATTGTAGCTTCATAGTGACCCCATAGAGCTTCATGGTGACCTCATTACAGTTGTATTATGGTGCCATAGAGCTCCATATTGACCCTATACAAGTTTGACTGTTACACCATATTAGCTCCATTATGACGCCATAGGTGTCTATAGTGACCCCAGAACTGTTCCATTATGACCCCATAAAAGCTCCATTATGACCCCATAGGAGCTCCATATTGACGCCATAGAGCTCCAAAGTGACCCCGCAGAGCTGCATAATGAACACATAACAGCTCTATTTTGACCCCAGAGAGTTCCATAGAGACACCATAAGAGCTCCGTGGAGATCCCAAAGAGTTCCATATTGACCCCATAAGAGATCAGGTTTGCCCCCATAGAGCTCGCGAGTGAGCTCGTAACAGTTTCATTATGACCCCATAAGTGTCCCATGATGCCCGCATAGAGCTTTCTAGTGACCCCATAAGATGTCCAATAGGACCCCGCTATAACTTACTAGTAACCACATAGAGCTTCATGGTGACCCCTTATCAGTTCACTTGTGACCCCATAGAGCTCCATTGTGGCCCCATAACAGATCTACTATGATGCCATAGAGCTCCATACTGACCCCATAACAGTTGTATTATGATGCCATAGAGCTCCATAGTGACCCCATACAAGTTCCACTGTTTAGCTCCACTATGACGCCATAGATCTCTATAGTGACCCCATAACAGCACCATTATGACCCCATAAAAGCTCCATTATGACCCCGTAAGGCCTCCCTAGTAACCCCATAGAGCTCCACAGTGATCCTGTAGAGCTGCATGGTGACTCCATAACAGCTCCACAGTGACCCCATAGAGTACCACAGTGACCCCATATAAGTTCCATTGCTACCCCATAAGCGGTCCATTATGACATGAAGAGAACCATAGTGACCCATAGAGGTCCAAGGTGACCCTATAATGCTTGATATTGGCCACGTAAAAGGTCCATTATAACCCCTTAGTGCTCCACAGAAACTCCATAACATTGCCATAGTGACCCCATAAGAGTTCCACTGTGGCCTCTTAACATTTCCATTCTGACACCAAAGAGCTCCATAGTGACCTTCAAGAGCTCCCTCATGACCCCATAATGGTTCCAGTAAGACCCCATACAGCTTCCTAGTATCCCCTTATCTGTTCCCTTGTAACCCCATGGAGGTTCTTAGGGACGTCAAAAGAGTTTCACGGAGACCCCATGGGGCTCCATAGCGGCCCTATAACAGTAACATGATGACCACATAGGAGCTCCATGGTGTCCCCATAACATTTCCATTCTGACCCCATCAGAGGTCCTTTGTGAACCCCTAGAGCTCCATTGTGACCCCGTAACAGCTGTATTATGATGCCATAGAAGTCTTTAGTGATCCCAGAACTGTTACATTATGACCCTTTAAAAGCTCCAGTATGACCCAATAAGAGCTCCATAGTGACCCCTTTGAGCTGCATTGGTACCCCTCAAGAGCTCCAATTTGACCCCATAGATGCTCCATAGAGTCTCCATAAAAGTTCCATAGTGACCCCTTAGAGCACCATAGTTAATCCTTTACGGTTTGATTATAATCCCATAGTTGCTCCATTATCAGCACAAAGAGCTCCTTAGTGACCCCATAAAGGTTCCATTGTTTCCCTATGAGAGCTCCATTATGACCATTAGAGAACCATAGTGACCCTTAGAGGTCCAAATTTTCCCAATAGATGTTGATCATAACCACATAAAAGGTCCATTATAACCCCCTAGAGATCCATAGTGACCATGGATCCATAAGAGTTCCATTGTGGCCGCACAACCGTTCCATGATGACCCCAAAAGAGTTCTGTGGTGACCTATGAAGAGCTCTATAGAGACCCCATAACAGTAGAATGAAAACCCCGTATAACTCAGTAGTGATTCCATAACATTGCGATAGTGACCCCATAGAACTGCCTTGTGGCCCCGTAAAAGTCCCATTGTGATCCCACAGAGCTTCATAGTTACTCCATAAGAGCTCCATCGTGACGGAATAGAGCTGCAAAGTGACCCCACAGAGCTGCATTGTGACTCCTTAATAGCACCATTATGACACCATAGAGCTCATTAGAGACCCCATAACAGTTCCATTATGGTGGCATAGAACTTCCAAGTGACCTCATAAGAGCTCCAGTGTGACCCGTTATAGCTTCATAGTGACCCCATAGAGCTTCATGGTGACCCCATAACAGTTGTATTATGATGCCATAGAGCTCCACTGTGACCCCATACAAGTTCCACTGTTGCACCATAATAGCTCCAATATGACACCATAGATCTCTATAGTGACCCCAGAACTGTTCCATTATGACCCCATAATAGCTCCATTATAACCCCATAAGAGCTCCATAGCGACACCATAATAGCTCCATGGTGACCCCATAGAGCAGCCTAATGACCGCAGTCAAGTTGTATTGTGACCCCATAGAGTTCCATAAAGATCCCAAAAGAGCTCCATTATGTCCAGATGACAACCATAGCGACACTATTAGAGCTCCATAGTGACCCCATGACAGTTCCACCATGACCCCTTAGAGTTTCATATAAGGCCTTATCAGTTCCCTCTTGTCCCCATAGAGCTTCTTAGGAACCTCAGAACAGTTCCATGGTGAGCCCATGGTGCTCCTTAGTGATCACTTAGAGCTCCATAGTGACCCCATTCAAGTTCCATTCTGAGCCCATCAGAGCTTTGTACTGACCCCAACCGAGCTCCATCGTGACCTCCAAGAGCTCCGTCGTGACCCCATAACGGTTCCAGTGTGACCCCATAGAGCTTCCTAGTATCCCGTTATCAGTTCCCTTGTGACCCCATAGAGGTTCTTAGGGGCGTCAAGAGTTTCATGGAGACCCCATGGAGCTCCATAGTGGCCCTATAACAGTAACATGATGACCACATAGGAGCTCCATGGTGTCCCCATAACTTTTCCATTCTGACCCCATCAGAGTTCCGTAGTGAAGGCTTAGAGCTCCATTGTGACCCCATAAGAGCTGTATTATGATGCCATAGAGCTCCGTAATGACCCCATAAAAGTTCCAGTCTTACACCATAATAGCTCTATTATGACCCCATGGAGCTTTATAGTGATCCCAGAAGTGTTACATTATGACCCCGTAAAAGCTCCATAGTGACCCAGTAGAGCTCCGTAGTCACCCCATAGAGCTCCATACTTA